TCTCTTTCTTTCTCTTCCTCCCTCCTCTTCTTCTTTTTCTCTCCCTTCCACCCACCTTCCCTTACCTCTTTCTTCTTCACTTATGGTAGAATATTCCAGACATGTGGCTACATCTCCAACATTTGGGGGATAGATTTGGATACATTTTGTGCCAATTGCGCTTGGGGGCAAATGCCATCTATGAAACATTTCTCTCAGAAAACAGGAGGCCTAAACTAATGTTCTAATGTTGCTTTTTTCCTTATTTTTGTTTCCCGCAGAGCACTAAAAAACATCAAGAATAATTTTTTCTTTCCTGTTTTATGGCTGAATGAGGTTAGTAGGTTTATTTTTCAATTGCTGCCATTCTTCCTTGTAGGCGTGACCAATCTGGGATCCCCGTGGATTGAACCAACTAAAAACGGGGAATCTCCAGAAAGGAGATTCTATATCTGGGGTGTCAGACATGATTTCAGTGAAGGACACATCAGGGTTGTGTTTGACCTTGGGAGGGGCCAGTTCAACGTCACTTGGGTTGGGGGCGCCTGTGCCAATGAAAACAGGCTCCCGAGTTACATTTTCGGCTGTGCCAGCTTCTTGCAACCCTCTGCTAGTGAAAACGAAGCTCATGTGGGCAACACACTGGCAGAGGCACCGCGGGCCATGGGTGGGTCCTTCGCTGTTTCCAGGTCGGCCCCCCGGGCCACCTTCTAAGCACCCCATGGGCCTTGAGTTTGATACCCCTGTTTTTATATGATCATCTGTATATGATCAGCAGATGACACCAAGCTGGCAGGAATGGCCAACACTCCAGAAGATAGGCTTAAGATACAGAAGACACCCTTGAACATTGGGCACTAGCTAACAAAATGAAATTCAATGGTGAAAAGAGTCAGGTTCTACATTTAGCCAAGAAAAACGAAATGCACAGGTACAGTATAGGTGGTNATCTTAATTGTGACTGTTTTGGATTTTAAAATTGTTTGTATTGTCTTATTTATTCCCTCCCCTGTTTATTGTGAGCCGCCCGGAGTCCTTCAGGAATGGCCGGCATACAAAACCAATAAACCTAACCTAACCTAACCATTTAACAGATCTACCTTTATACATTTTGGCCAATTTTGTGGGTGCAAAATGCCATCTATGAAACATTTGATGTAGATGTTCAAGGACATCCGGAAACCTCTCCAGAGGTTGCCATTGCAGTTGGCAGGCAGTCCTCAACTTATGACCACAACCGAACTCCAAATGTATGTTTGTTAAGTGAGAAATTGGTTAAGGGAGTTTTACGATTTTTCTTCCTGCATTTGTTAAGTGAATGACTGCAGTGGGTATATTAATAACCTTGTCATTAAGTGAATCTATCTTCCCTGTTGACTTTGCTTGCCAGAAGGCCACAAAAGAGGGTGTCACGTGACCTCGGGTCACTACAACGGTCATAAATGTGAGCCAGGTTGCCAAGAATCTGAATTTTGATCACGTAAACATAGGGATGCTGAAATGGTCCTAAATGCCATAAGTCATTTTTTTTCAGTTCCATTGTAACTTTGAGCAGTCATTAAATGAACTGCTGTAAGTCGAGGATTATCTGTACCCGTTATTCAGAAGTTTTGTTGTTAACCGAGTGACTTTTTATAGTTAAACTCTCAAGTTTTCACTTCATACCTTTGGAGAACGGGAAGCTGGGAAACCTTAAGGGATTCTTCAGCTGAAGGTTGAATGCAGTTCAGTTCAATTCTGTGTGCCTCATCATTGGAAAGGTATATTCTTCAAATGAAAACAGATATTTTGGACTTTTTTTTATTTAAAAAGAAAGATGAATTCAGTTGTTTTGTTTAGCTTTCAGACCAACTGGGTGACAAGATCTGGTGCAGTTCAGGTATTTCCCAGCAGGTGGCAATGCTGCATTTTCAACCAGAGTGGAAATTATTTTTACCAGAAAGCAAAACTCAAAATTATAGTACCGTATTTCCCCGAAAATAAGACAGGGTCTTATATTCGTTTGACACCTCGAAATAAGGCTTGGGAGGTCTTATTATTTTTGATGTTCAGGAGGCGGCGAGCGTGGTCACCTCATGGCTGCTGCTCTGTTGCAATATTTTCGGGGAGGGCTTATTTTCGGGGGAGGATTTAATTTTAGCGCATGTGCTCAAAAAGCCCCATTGAGCAGGTCTTGTTTACTTGTCCCAGCTTGTCCCAGCTTCTGCCAACCTAGCAGTTCGGAAGCACGTCAAAAACGCAAGTAGAAAAATAGGGACCACCTTTGGTGGGAAGGGAACAGCGTTCCGTGCGTCTTCGGCATTGAGTCATGCCAGCCACATGACCACGGAGACGTCTTCGGACAGCGCTGGCTTTTCTGCTTTGAAACGGAGATGAGCACCGCCCCCTAGAGTAGGGAACGGCTAGCACATACGTCTGAGGGGAACCTTTGTCTTTATGAATACTTCATGTGATTTTGATTCCATGCCTCTGTTTATACAACCAAGGATTGTATTGGCTTTTTTGATTGCTGGCTCATGTTTAAGTTCTCGTCCAAGGTCCCTCTTTTATCCAGAATTGCTTTATCCAGAATCCTTTCATTGTCAATGGATGGCTGTTTTGCTGTCTAAAAGGAGAATATTGTTGCCTGCTGCTCATAGATCAATCTATTAGTATTTTCCTCTAAGGACAACTCTGTGAATCATCCGAAGAGAGAGAAAATGTGATTCTGCTGTGTTTAACATCTGGCATTTTGAGTTCATCTCTGCTTTCTATAAGCCATGCTTAGAAAGCTCTTCTTAGAAGGAATCAGATAGCACTAACAGAAAGCAGAATCTTCCTGTAGCAAATTGAGAGAGAGAGAGAGAGAGAGAGAGAGAGAGAGAGAGAGAGAGAG